TATATATATATATATATATCAAATTTTATATTTTCAAATGAATCAAATCTAAATTTTAAATTTTATTTGCATGAATAAGTGAGTCAAAAATTGAATAATTCACATTAAATCACATTAAATCTAGTTCAACTTTAAGTGTCCAAATTTTCCTAAAGAAAAATTATAATTCCTTCCATATATTCTTGAAATGTTTACATTTTTTAATTTAAAACCTAAAAGAGTAGGCTTATGACTATTTTCACTTAGAGTTTTTATTGTCTTAATTTATTCTTTTCATATCACATGTACAGTATGTCATTTACTCATTTTGAAATTTGAACTAAAAAAAAACCTTATATGAAGTTTTGAATATTATTCATGGCTGGATGTCCTTAGAGGCGGTGCAATTGGGAGCTGCAAAATTAATTTGTAGACTAAATATCATAATACTAACATCTTGAATATATAGGATAACACCTTACAAAATCAAGATTTGTAGTTGAATGTGCTCACTCCTAGCTCTGATTCACAAGCCCAAACAATTGAATTCACAATAGACACAAACACAGAAACACCCACAGACCAACAAAGAAACCAAGTTGCTTTCCCTATTTAGGTCAGCAATGGATGCATTATATATGTTGTCTCTACTGTTTACACAATCTGTTCAACTCATTATTTTATTCAACAAATGTCTGAAAGGTAGAGACAACCCTCATGTGCAATACTGCCAATTCCAATCTGTTAGCTTCCACATTACAAAATGGAAATAAATTAAGAGACACGTGATCAGAGACCAATACAACGTGTTAATCTCTAAATAAACTAATTCTTCTTTTAATCTATCATTACGGTGCTTGTATCTTTCTTACACGGTTGATCCCCTTGATGTGATTATAAGGAACCTAACCACATGTCATGTTTCTGATCTAATCTCATTAGTTTCATTAATATTGAATTTCTTTTGTCATGAATGATTCTTTTTATCCCTCTCATAAATTCATCACTATCTACTTTGGGATTATGATTTAATCAAATTGTCAGTTGACATGGCTTTAAGAGCTCTCTATCATTTCCAAGAAACTTTCTTTGGTCAACCAGTGCAAGTAATGCTCAAATTTAGCTACAGGCTCTTTTCATTAGTTGTCTTTTCTTATTAATGTTAAATAAATAAACGAATATATGGGTTTTCGTTATGCTGACTTCCTTTAAATTTAGTTTAACTTGGGTTTTTTTATACATGTAAAAAAGTTAAAAAGAATAATGTTAGATGTAGATATTAAAAATTGTAGTAGCATCTAAGAAGTGACGTACTATGTATCAATTCTTTCTAAATAATAGATGAAATTCTTCATCACTTTAAGTTGATTATTTTAATTACCAAAGTTGTCGGGGCATATAATTGTTCATTGCATGTAATTAACTGTGACATGCATGAATTAGGTGTGGCTGAGAACAAGACAATTCCTTGAAACTTTAATAAATGAAACTTTTGGAACATCCCAAACACCTACGCCTATAATAAAAGGGTAACACATGAACTAAGAATTTCGCTCCAATTAGAGGCATTTATCAGTAAGTCACACGGCTTAGGACTGAAGTGTTCAGTATTAATTTTTTATGTTGAACAAGATGGATCCCAAGGACAGTAACCAAACTTTTTTGGAAAAGGCAACCATTGGAACGATGCACTGAAGCTACCCTGCTTTTGATCTTCTACTCATCAATAATAGTATTGACTACGATATAGTAGTAGTAGTTTATACTTGAGCATTCATATATACAAATAAAAAATTTATTGAAAAAAGCAACATTACCATTCTAGAGATGCCTTTTTTTTATGTATGTAGATATATTAATTGCCATTTATCAATCTGTATTAATGCGTAAATGCTGTTATATATATATATGTTTCCTTGTATAATTGCCATTTATCAATCTGTATTAATGTGTAAATGCTGTTATATATATGTTCCATTGTAAAAAATTCAAACGTTCGATACATGCACCATTATACTTCTCTTATACAAGGCTTTTTAATAATTTGAGTCAGGATGTTTTATTCAATAACTCGTGTTACCGTTGGCCCTCGTTCATACCTCTAATGAAAATTCTTATAAGATTTTTTTTCCTTGATCAATGAAGGAATTTGAAAAGTCAACATCATGGAAAATTAAAATCTCCAACACGTACTCAATGTGTTTCTTTTCTGTGAGGTTGAAGGGAAGCATAAGTGTTAATTAAGCTCATTGAGAAGTACCAAAGTTCGATGTAGCAAGATTAAGAATTGCTGAAATGTGTAATTTTTAAGACTGGATTAATTTGATATCAACTGGCCACGAAAGTCAAAAAAGAGTAACTTGATACACTGATGTTACCAAAGATAACATAAAAATTTGACCTCACAGCCTCTCTCGTGCCTCATAGGTTGTAATCTCATGCTTTCCTACCTAACTGAAATATTTTTCCATTAACAAAAGGATAGAATACAAAGTGGGCTACAAATTTGGAACAAATATTTAAACCCAAACTTTCATAAGAATCATAAATAATTAATATATATATAGCATTCTACTATATACTATATATTCCTTCTCTAAAATCTAAAATCCAATATCTTCTACCCTGCATCGATATCCACCCCGCTTGAGCGTGACTTTGGATTTACGTAGTACGTACAGTTGCAGCATCATGCTTTTGCCTCCCAAGATAGACTAGACTCCAAGCAGCACGTAGTAGAGTATTGTTATGGGCAATGCAATCAGCATTCCAAATATAACTCTGCACAGTTTGCAAAGTTTCTTTAATTTAGAACCCTTAAAATCTCACATACACTTGCATTTAATACATTTCTTAAACAATTTTTTCACATCAACCTTACATTAAATATACATAAATGAAAAATTTATAAAAAGTAACATTTGTTACATCAGAAATTATTTAACCAAATGAGTTTTAATTAGGTGCTTATGAGGAAAGAAATTAAAGAAGACACTTACGCAGTACTTAGAATATCTGCATGGAGATTGTACTCTTTAGCAAAAACAAAGGGAACTATGCCTTGGGGAAGAGCTGCCTGCAATAAATGCCGTGTTATAAACAAGTAAAAACTACGAATAACATAAGCATTCAAGTTTAGGACAGTTTTTGAAAATTTTTCTGTCAATATAAAAAGAAAATTTAAGTAAAAAGATTCTCAAAACATTTTTAGACTTGTATCCAAACATTTTTTATTATAGATAAAGAGTTTATTTAAATATAAATTATAAATGTATTTAAAAATCTCCCTATTAAAAATAATAAATATTTTTTAGTAGATAAATTTTTAAAAAATATTTCTAAGTTTGTATTCAAATAAAATTTATAAAAAAAAATCATTTCATTTCTCACCTGGACAATTGCAACATGCAAAAGAACTCCACGGATTCCGATGCCTATGGAGGTTGCAGCAATCACAGCTGGACCTGTCAAGAACCTAACAGCCATAGAAAATGCTGCCACAGACTTTCCACAGGCAATGATCTTGGGTTGTAATGCCATAAACAGACCTGTTTACAAGTAAATGCATTATATATCACAAATTATTTTCATATAATTTCTCAAAATTTTGTTGATAACATATGACAGAGTTAACAGAAAGGAGACAGTAAATAAATGGCTCATTGCAAGTACCTAGACTGAACATGGCCATTCCGAGACCAGCATCAGAGAGTATTGAGATGGAACCTTTTACAATAGTTGGCATTTCAATGTGCCACCTGCATGCATGCACACAAGCAAATTAACCATTGATGAAGTGACAACTGACACCAACATGCAAATTAACTTGCCTTTTTTATTTTTGACTTTGAAATTAATGATATACCTATATGAAATGAGAGACCATGTGAGTCCCAAAAGACTTGAGTAGGTATTAGGATTTCTAATGAGTTTCCTCCAAACCATGATGAGGATGAGCCTTGTCATGACACTTGCGGGTGGCATCTGTTGGTTTTTGTTTACATTGCCATCTTCCATGTCCACCTTCTTCTGGCACGTGTATGGAGATCCACTAGTGGGAAATTTGCCTCCTTCCTCCATTTCAGGCTCCCTCTCTCTACGACCAGGACTCATGTTCTCAATCAATTCATGAACAGCTGCATGCAAAATTACACGTTTAAAATTAATATGCCTATGATTCTATTTCTATATAACAAAACAAATAGGACAGCAATTAAACCCTACCACAAAATGGAAATGGAAGTACGATTATTTATAAAAAATATAAAATAAAATAAAATAAAATCTGAGACCACTTGGGCTATAGTGTCTAAAAAAGTGAACAAACAGGGGAAATTATTACATGATCTGAAATCATTACGTGTCTAAAAACTGGTCAGAAACAAGAGGCAAAAAGGGTTTGTGTGTGTGATATATTTTGATATGTATGTGATTTTGGGATTACCTTTTGAGGCAACAGTTTCATGTGGAACAGCCTTAGAAGGATCGACTGTTGCAAAGTCGGTAGAAGCAGCTCTATTAACTGCATGCCTCAAATTCCCCTCAGAAACTGGTGATGCACTTGAACTCCAAACAAACATGTGTAACTCCTTATTTGGAGCAGCACCAACACTAGTGCTATCTTTCTTTTTGGTGCCACCAGCACTGGTAGACCCTGAAAACATTGGATTCGGAGGAGGGTAGGAAGAAACCATACCCCCATTAAACAACTCTCCACTCATGCTCCTCCCTCCTCTCTTCTTGTGCATCTTCAACATCTCCTCTTCAAAATTAGAAGTCCTTGGTGTTGCCCCTTTTGAAGATTGCAAAGAGTAAACATCACCGATACCACTATTACTCTGGAAACTATTTGTGTATCCATGTTTTGGACTCGGTGCCTTGCTTGCAAACATGGCATAGAAATCCGTTTGGTTGAAACTTGAAGCTCTTGGGGTCGGTTCCCTTGATGACTGAACAGAATAGATCTCAACCCCAGTGAGATTGGATGCTCTAGGAGTCATGGAAGTTAAGTGAGACTTGTTGAAGGAAGATATCATGGAAGAAGCTGCTGATCTCTTAACCACCACGTGGAGTTTTCCATCTTCTCCTATCTCAGCATCGGTTTGAAGTGGCTCTCTACCATTGAGTGAGACAACATCTGAGTCAACCCTGAAGGAGGTGATGGAGCCTGCAGTCTCAGGGAACTGTTCTGTGATGAGGAGCTTGGCACCTCTATACTCAAACATGAAGAGCATGAGAGTGTACCAAATGACACTTTGCAACACCACAATTTGGACCATGAGGCTCCCTGAGAAGTCTCCATACATCGCCTTCAATAAAGGGATCCCCATGACAAGTGTGTTTGGGAGAGTGGAAAGTGAGAAGAGGGTGATGGTCCAGTCAAGGCTTCCATGATTTGTAAAGGTGTTCCATAGAAAGAGAGCACCAAGAATGACAACCTTTTGAAGAGAATCAGCTGCTATGAAGTGGTAGTTCATAGCATAAGGATCATTGGAGGATATGAAGTGGAAAGAAAGCAATGGAACAGCGAAGACAGCAACAAAGCGGTTTATTCCAGAACATTGATCAGGTGTGAAAATTTTCCACCACCGAACTGAACCATATGCTAATATCATAGCCACGTAGAGAGGCACAATAGCCGCAAAAACATCATAAATGTCCTTGCCGGTTATCATGGTTAATGCAGGGTTGTAGCTATAGGTCAATATAGACAGAAATTAAGAGACAGGGATCAGAAAGGGAATTACGAAAGGTTTTGTAGGGTATATATAGCGTTTAAGCTGGAAAACAAGGAAACATGACTGGGAAAAAAGGAACTAGCTCTCAACAAGAACGAAGGCCAAAGAGGCTTAAACCTTCATTTTTAGTCCTCTCTTATAGATATGTCTCTTTGGTTAATTATTTTTTAACAAGAAACAGAGTGCCACCTAAATAGATTAATCAATTAGATGCTGTTTCTAGCTTCATAAACAAATTAAAAGTGTTCACCAGATTAAGAAAATATATAACGTAAAGAGAACAAAAAAAAAAAAAAAAAAAACAGCTCAAGTGGGTTAAATGTAGACAGAATAATAATAGGGTTGGATTTTCCATGAACTGTGTGTGAATTTGATTATAGGCCTAACTCGGCGCCATTGTAGACGTTCCTGCACATGTAAGTTAGGCAGAATTCAGTGATCTGCGGTAGCAGCAAAGATCTTTCTGAGGGAGTATTGTTTTTTTAATGGTAGTGAGATGTGAAGAAGACTCAGACATAAATGAGCTCACACCGTTTCATACATTACTGAGACGCTAACGGTTCAATCAGACCCTGGTGTCAAAAGAAAAATGCAAATCATAAGGTGGTAAATATTGATGCCAATCTGTTCTTTTTTGTTTTTCAATCGACCATTTGTTAGGGATTCTTAATTTTTCAATTGAGTAAGAAATTAAGTTTTGTTACGATAGATTTCTATAGTATTCCTCGAAATTTTGAATTCATTAATACTATGTTTTTTTTTTTTTTTTATCAAATTCAAAACTCAAACGTAGACCTTTGGTGTTTGAGTATCAATCAGACCAACTATGCACAACATGTATATCTGTAACTATGTTAAAGAATTCTATTAATAACCTTGTGTGTCGTGCAACAATTCTCTGTGTTTGTGTCACATACCGTGTACCATTCATTTTGTATTTAAAGGAAGTCCTAGTAACGATATAAAGTATGAATTGAACTGTGATGCATCGTGTATTCGTATACCTGTGTATTTCCTATCTGGTAATTATGATCTGTAAATAAATTTTATATATAATATACATGGGTTTAATTTGAAGTTATTTAAAATAAATAGACATGCATCACGGTTATGTTCACGGTTAATGCATGTAATGATGTGAATTCGAGTTCACAGTATAAATTTTCTTTATTTTAAAACCATCTCTACTTAATGACTTAAACAATTTATAAAAGAGAAAAATTATAATGATTCTTCGCTTTTGAGAATTTATAATGTAGAGATAGATCCTTTCGAATAAAAATTAATTAGTTTTAACGTTCTTGTATATATATGATTGAGAAGTAAATTGTGAGAAAGGTGCGATCTTTAAATTTATTAATTCAACTTGGACCCACCCGGCATTTTAAGAAATGGTCGAGGATGTTTATTTGCCTTTCCTTTCTACCAATCAACATCAGGTCAAAAAATGAGTACTGTTTAGTAACTGATTAAGATAAGCTATACCCATTTTATCACTGACCAACTTACTTAAAAAAAATTAAAGAAATTAAAAAAAAAATAGATGAGGGTGTGAATGGAAGTAAGAATAGTTAAGAATAAAAATTAGGAGTTAGATTGGAGATTTTAGAAAATTAGAACTAAGAAATAAAATAAAATAAAAACTGTTGGGAGATTCGCAACTGATACGGGTCCATTAGAGGCAAGACCCAAAAGGACAAGCAAACAGCCCAAGTGGCTCAACGAATGTATTTGAGAATGCTTAGACAATTGCCAAGTGTAGGGTTCTTTTTGTGTGACCCTTGGCTCCATGTTTTATAATTCATTTCATGGGAAATGATATCCCTTAGTTTTCCTTCTATATCCTAGTTTTAATCTTCCTTCCTAACAGTAACCGATCAAGGAAGGTTAATATATGTAACAATGAGTATACACCGACATTCATCCATCAAAGGCAACACTTCATCGATACTTGTCATTTTTTTTTTGAAAAAAAAATTCTCTCTACTTATTACATTACTTATATGTACAAGTTGGACCTACATAAAGATACATAGATAATTTTATCACTTTAAGTAGAGTTGTCAAAGTGAGCTTAGCCCGGTAAGCTAACCCGGCCCATCACGGGTTCGAGTAAAGTTGGATTGAAATTTTAAAAAAAAAATTCAGTACGAGCCAATTTCGAATAAACTGGTCCAACAACATCAAATAAGAAGAAAAAAAAAATCGTAATGGGTCAAACTTATCAGGACTTGGACTGGAAATGAGAGAAAAATGAACGCGAATGTGGATGCTGGGCTTGCGAAAGGGCTGTTCATATATACGTTAGAGGTTTAAAATTAAATTTAATTGGATTACTTTGAATTGGGTTTTGAACATTTTATTAAAAAGAAAATAAATTATGTACTGATATTATTCAAGTAATTTTATTTTATCGTTTAATTATAAATCATCATATAATAAGATTTTAACTTTATTTTTTGAAGGGAAGATTTTAACTTTTTAACACTCTTAAAATTCATATCTATAATAATTTTTAATGTAGTAATACTGAAAAAGTTTGTAAACTTAATAGTCATTAAACTCCATGTTAAAACCCGTTTGATTTAGTTCTGATGATCAATTGTGATAAAAAATAATAATAATAATAATGAACTATCACCTTTTTCAAGTGTTTAAATAAAATTATGTCTACTTTTCTATATTTTTTATTTTATATTAGTGTAAAGTAATATTATTTTTTAATCTTAAATAATTAAATGTTTATTTTTTTCAGTATTTAATTTCTATAATTATCACTTTGTATACTTCATTATATTTTTAATCAAAATATGATATAAGAAAATACATAATAAATATGACTAAATTAAGATACTTCATATAATTAAACTGGTATTTTAGATTATGGAATGTACAAACATGTTTATTATATATAATTTAGGTAATTACACTTTTGATTTTTCTATTTTTATTGATATGAAATTTTGATCATTCTATTTTAAAATAAAGATATTTAGTTTTTTTATTTTAAAAAAAATATAAAATTTTGATCCTATAATTAATTTGATGTTTGTTGATTATTTAATTTTGATGTTGTTGAGTGATTTATCACCACTTAAGTGATGTGACATTTACTAATGTAACATACAATAATAAAAATGAAAAAAATAACATATAAAAGATTTTTGTTTATATCTATTTTTATTAGTGATTGATATTTATTTTATTAATATAAAATATATTTACACCTTTTTTATTTTTTTGTTTATAAATGTCATATTTTGATATTACCTAATGTCACATCACTTAATGAATAAATATTAAAAATTAACCATCAATATTAATTTAATAAAAGGACCAAAATTTCATGTTTTAAAAATTAAAGGGATTAATTATCTTTATTTAAAAATAGAAGAATCAAAATTGTGGATTAATAAAAGTAGAAAGACCAAAAATGCAATTTATCCTATAATTAAATTTATCATAAATTATATATATATATATATATATATATTGTGTTTTAAAATATAAATTTTATTTAAAATTAGTATAAATAAATATTTTGAACATATAAATTATATTTTAAATTTATGATCAATAATTTGTATCATAACAAAAAAAAAATTTTATTGATAATTTTTAAAAAAATATTAATATTTAATACATAAATAATTATAGTAAATAAAAATAAAATCAAGCAATAAATTAAAAAAAATCCATACAAACTTTCTTATTATAAATCGATTAAAAACATGATTTGCCTTTTAGTATAACTTACGTTTAAAAAAAAAATAAATTAAAAACTTCATTTAAAAAAATTATTATTATTGTTATTTAAAAAAAAATAAAGAATGTAGTTTGTCTTTTGACTTTTTCCAATACCAATGAAAATGAAAAGCATTGAAAGGCACGTGGAGAGAACTGCTACTGTTACCTCCCTCTTCTGTTTTATTTTCGGCTGACCTAAATATAAACCTATCTTTGAAATATGCTAGCAAACTAAAATCACTCCCACGTCCACGTGTTTGAATTCAACAATAAATTTTATTTGGCCATTATGGTCATTTACTCACTCTAAGGTTCGTGTTTGTTTTGAAGTATAAAGACGTTATTTATTTATTTATTTTTTAAAAAGTGAATTTAGAAAAATATCACATTTTTATATTTAATTTAATTTTTTAAAATATTTTCAAATATTAATTTTAGCTAGGGATATAAAATATTTCTATTTATCTTGTTATTCTTATGATAATATATGTGTATTTTTATGTTTTTAAAGCGATAGAAGTTACTTTTTATAATCATTATTTTCTTCATTTTATTTTTCCATTTTAAAATTTTTTAATTAAATAATTTTTATTTTTCAAAATATTAAACATGAATCAAAATAATTTTAGGTGTAATATTTTTGAAAATGTAATTCTTCGAAATATAATGTAATATCTTTTTTTTATTTCATTTTGTTGATAACTATGTTATTGATACAAAATAAGATTTTACTGATGATTAATCTTTATAAAAATATGTCTGATTACTTTTAGTAAAATATTTTTTTTAACTACATTTTTTTTATATATGAGACTCAAATTTGAAACTTAGAAGACTAAATTAGTATTACTCACAATATAATATATTTTTTGTCTAATAAAAAAATATAACTCCTCTCTCATCAAGTTGACTTTTATAAGAATAAAGTGGTACATTTAGCCATAACATCATACTTAAAGAATTAGACTCAATTATTTATTATGAAACATAAATGTTAAGAATCACTTGAATTTGTGATCATAAAAGTTAAAAAATGAGACTTAAGAAATATAATTAATATTTATAATTTTATAAAGTGAATTATATAATTTCTTAATATATTCTTCAACCTTTTGAATATCGACCAATAATAAAAAAATGACACTAATAATGGTTAAGTATATAATAAAAAAAACATGTTTATTCTCACATTAATATTATAAAATGATAAATTAAACCAGATAATGTAAAAAATCCTAAAACTTAGAACAAAATGAAATAGATTGAGTATAATATAGTATTTTTTGAACGCTTCGGGAGTATAATACTTTAATTAAGCGTACTAAATAAACATATTTAATTGAGTCTTGCGTGTATGTTAGGTCAACAACCGTACGATATAGCTGTTGAATGATTGTGGGACTCATGGAAGGTTGGTTGATCGTCCATGTTAACCCATGAATCGAGGAAATCACAAAGATTGGTTCTCTCCGCGGTTCTGTGGACTTCTCAACAGTTTGGTTAATGGTTTCACAAAAACGTTGAACACATTAATGTCGTTGAAATTGAATATCTAAACAATCATCGTAAATGTCAAACCCAACTTTTGTTATGTTTAATGAAACTTTGCACGTTGGGCCTCACAACAGCCCAGACTCTGCCTAGTAGTACTCCTAGTTAAGTAGATCATAGATGCCATCTCCACTCTCTCAATTATTAGTGCTTTCTTTAATGAAATGGAAACAGTGTACATGTGCGCATGAAAGCATATTAATTATAGCATAGAATAGAAATATTATCCTAGAATAAATTCCCATCAAATATCAACTCTCCAAATCAAATCAAATGCCTATTACTTTCTTGTTAACTCATATTTATAAATTATATTTTATTCCGATCTGCGTTGAATTGGAGTGACAAAAAGATTCGAACATGATTTTTTTAGGGTAAACACCATGATAATGTTCCTATTCCTGGGTGATGTGGCTGACCAAATTAGGCATTGACCTAACACAAGGAATCAAGTTGAGTAATGTTTGGTACTTTATTGAAATTATATACATTGCTTTTTTCATCGTATTGGGAATCCACGCTAAATTCAAATTTAAAGTTCCATTTAGTTGCGATTTGCTTTTTACCCGTTGCAATCACCGTAGATAGATGGTCAACCATAAACAAAAGGACAAATGGAAAAAGATAAAGCCTGAAACTTCCAACGAGGTCACTACAATTTTATATATTTTACTAGTGGAATGCACTCGGTGTGTATATACGGTAACTAATGCCCAAGTCTACTCAAGTCAACAACGAATAATTTTTTTAATAAAAAAATTTTGTACCATCTTTCTATTCATGTCCATATTCACAGATAGGAGCATAGCTAAAAATTTATCTGCCTCTCAGGATCAGATGTTGTTTTTTAACGTTACTTATATCTAAATACTTAAATATTATAAATAATTTATAATTATTTATTTATTTATTATCTATCTTTCTATTACATTATATATCAATTATATATATATAAAATAAATTTTAGGGGTTCAAAAAAACATTTTAAAGTAACTTTGATTAATTTTTGTAGAAAAAAATGAAGGACCATGACCTTTTCAGATCCCCTCCCTTCACTCCTATTCACAAATATATCTATTTTATCGTGTTTCTTTTCAAACCAATATAGACCATTACACCTTTCTTGTGAGTCGATTAAGTCAATTTTAAGATAAAATAAAAGTGATCATATATTTATTGAAGAATACAAATAGTGAAATACTTGTGATAAGGATGTTCGGTAGAAAAATAACCTCTTCATTTTCGGAGGAACAATATTGTTTTTGATAAACTTGAAAAGCCAAATTCAGGAAATAATATAATTAACGTAAATTGATTTATTTCGGTGCTCTAATAACAAACAAATTTGCTTTGATTTCCTTTCGGTGTGCTAAGCATTCTACGAAAGTCAAACAAAAGACATCACAATTAATGTCATTTTTTTTAATGTTGTAAATGTCATATTAACAAAAATGAAGTGGTTGTTAACAAACATCCAAGTTCTTTTCAATATTCATACAGTGTAGCTAATGCATGAATAGGGTCGAAAAAGACAGGAATGTAAATGCAAGTACAAACCTTGCATAAATATGAATGATATGTTTGGAAGAGATGGAAAAAAAATAAAAAGAAGAAAAAATATTTAAAAAAAAAAAAAGCATAAAGTTGATAAGCATATAATTGATGTATTTGTTTTAAAGAATATGGATTAAAAAAAAGAAAGGAGATGAGAGTGAGAGTGAAGAGAGGAGGAAGGCAAAGATAGACATAAGTAGGTGCAATTGCGAATTGCGTTGACGAGGATGGTTTGGAAAATAGTTGAAGATGTGTAAACGCGTTCCAAGAGGCGGTGATTTGAATTTAGAGTTGGTTGGGCAGTTTCGTACGAACTAGGAACAAGTGGCGGGACCCAGCAGGCAGCAGCACAATGCACAGTAAGTAAACATTTGTTTTTGTGGTCATTGCATGAAAAAGTAAAGTCCAACTCCAACCAATATCTAGGCTTGGATTGACGAAACTTGGTTGACTTTTCTCCTCCTCCTCTCTTTTATAACCTCCTCTTTCTCCCTTCTCTTTTCCATAACCACTCTTTCTCTCTCTCTAGATCTCGCAGGGGTTGCCATGGAAGAGAACATACCCATACAAGAAGCAGCTTCCGCTGGCTTGAAGAGCATGGAGCATCTCATTCGTCTCCTTTCTTCTTCTGCTTCTTCTTCTTCTTCTTCTTCTTCTTCTTCTTCTTCCTCACACCACCACCGTCTTAATCTCAACCACCTTGACTGCACCCAGATCACCGACTTCACCGTCTCCAAGTTCAAACAAGTCATCAACCTCTTGAATCGCACCGGTCATGCTCGCTTTCGTCGTGCACCTTCACAACCTCAGCCCCAAACACTAACTCTTCATTTTGCAAATCCCAACTCTTCTACCCAACCCTCTACCTCTAAGACCAAGGAAGCCTCCACCTTTAGCATATCCCCTCCCATGTCCATGTCCATGTCCATGTCCATGTCCACCACCACCTCCTCCTTCATCTCCTCCATCACCGCCGACGGCAGCGTCTCCGACGGCAAGATCGGCCCCTTCCTCCCTCCCAAACCCCCTCTCTCCTCCTCCCACCGCAAAAGATGCCACGACGCCACCCTCTCTTCCTCCGCAAACTGCCATTGCTCCAAGAGAAGGTAACTTCAATTTACAATTACATCCTTCAACAATTCTTTTTTAAAAAAAGAAAGAAGAAACTAATAAATAAACATTTAAATAGGAAATCTCGTGTGAAAAGAATGATTCGTGTGCCGGCGATAAGTTCGAAGATGGCTGATATCCCAGCGGACGAGTACTCATGGAGAAAGTACGGTCAAAAGCCCATCAAGGGATCACCCTACCCACGGTATTTTTCTATTCTTCCCTCCCAACCCTACCTAGTACCTACTATCATGCTTCTTTCTTCCTCCCAAATTAATTAGTTATTTGTTTTGGTAATTGCAGTGGCTACTACAAGTGCAGTAGCGTAAGAGGCTGTCCAGCCAGGAAGCACGTCGAGCGTGCCCAGGACGACCCCAACATGCTCATCGTTACCTACGAGGGGGACCACCGCCATCCGCAACCGCGTCTCCGACAAACTACCGGACCCTCCGCCGCTGTTGCCTCTCCGGAGATCGGAAAATTCTGACGCCCACACTCATTCGACGTGCAAAGGAAAGAAGCAAACTCAACTTTTGCTTTCTTGCCTGTGACCTTTCTGGACCAAAAGACTCCACTACTAGATGGATAAGGACTTTTCTGTAAATTTTACAAAAACAAAAAACAAACAATTATCAAATATACTTGCTTTTTTTTTCTTTTTTTTTTTTAAAATTTCTTGAGTTGAATTTGAATGAGAGTATAAGGCTTTACATACACTGACATGAATTTATTTATTCTTATTTTAGTTTTATGGGACAATGGCATGAAATGGGTTAGACTTTGGGCCACCCCACCTACATATATATTTTTTGTGTTGGTTGGATTGAAATATATATTATTTATATCGGAGAGATCTGATCTGATCTGATCTAATCTATTAATCCAAGTTGAAAGAAAAGTATAGATTCCATTCCATGGGCACAGCAAAGCATAGGTTGAAAAAAGAAACAAAAAAGTCAAAGGTGTAGTGCAAAATGGAGAATCTCAGTAACTTGTCTCTGGAGTGGGACAGGTCCCAGCTCATTCCGATGCTCTCATAAAATCACCCCTTCACATTCTCTTCAACGTGTATTTTACTTTAGGATAAATAAAATCAAACAACGAAACCAAACGAGGATACTTGTTTCATAAATTATTTGAGTAAAAACAAATAAATATTCTTAAAATAGTTTATTCTTATACAATAAATTAAAATACACAATTTGTTAAATATTTAATTCGATCGGAGAAAATATGACATTAACTCTTTCCACTCTCGATCAGTTACATATTTTTCATATTTTACTTTTACTTCGGAAGTTAGGAAAAATTTTCTCTATCAAGTGTTAACTGTTTAAGATTATTATTCTTTCATTTTATTATAAACTGAATATTTTTTTTTTCCATGAACATAATGTCTTGGTGGAGCGTGACTGTCGTTAGATCTAGGATCATCAACTTGATTATGTATAGACTTAATATGGTTAATATTCTTAATTATTTATCATTTTTTATTGAATATCCTTTTACCTATGAATTGAATTTTAATAAATTTTAAAAATAATAAATTTAAAATATAATTTAAATATTTAAAGCTATGCATTAAATTTAATTATAATAATCTTCACCATAAGTAAAACTTTTACTTGCAGATATAATAAATAAAAATTTTCAGAATATGAAATTACGCGTGATAGTAAATACATCTTTATGTGAAATAATAGCATTGCTAACATTAAAGAAAAGTCCTTACTTTGCGTTGATTTTGTGTTTGACTAAGAGTACTTGTACGTATTTGTATAGTTGTATAACAGTGGAAGTCAAATATGGAAATTAATAAGCATGAATACCGTCGTACCACGCACAATGACGTGGCGCAGCTTCACTTCAAAGTTTGAACTCTTCAATGCATTTTATTTGAATCACGCAACTCCTCTTGTGGTCCCTCTTACCCTAGAAACTTTAAATTGGGTCAACATGCTTTGAATTTACATAACCTTCTCTACACGCATATCATATGCACGGGTTTTTATATTTTCAAGAGTAAAACGTTTTTTTAAATTTCATAAATATTTTTCTCTTTGATTTTAGTTTTTCAAGATTTTTTTTTACTTTTAAAATTGTTAGGGAGTCTTTAATATCGGGAACACTCCACACAATGAAAAGTGAGTAAGTCACACAAGTGAGATTGACACTACAACATATCCTAAAACTTTAAGGTATTAGGTAGGTGAATTTTTCTCACTTATATATTGCACTAGTGCGGAGTCTTTAACATCGGGGAACACTCCACACAATGAGTAGTGAATAAGTCATACAAGTGAGCTTGACACCACAACTGTAACATTGTTAAAAAAAAAAAAAAAAAAAAAAAAAAAAAACATATTTTTTTGGGACTTATACCTTGGCTGGACCGAAAACACTAAAAGACTTAAGCAAGTGAAACTTAAACACAAACCCATTCTAGTGCCATTCTAGGTTTATTCTTTTGAGTGCTATCTTTTATTGATTGAGTCTTAATTTTTTGCTTGTCTTTCTTTTGGCCTCTTTTGTTTTGTCTCAACTTATTCTATCTGAGTTTAGCCTTTCATAATTTATCCTTTTCAGTTTTTATTTTTTTGGAACTCTTGCTCTTGGTTGGTTTTCATTAATTGAAGGTGAAGCACCTATCTAGCAAAGTAGCAATCCTTTGGTGGATTGAGTGGAGGAGTGAAAGTTAAGAAAAGTGAATGCTTTAATATACGACAGTACCTGCGCTCTAAAGAAAAGCCCAAATCAATTTTAAAAAAAATACTATGGTTGAGCCCTTGCTTTAATATGTTTGTTAAAGTAAGTCTTCTTAGAATCTAATATAGATTCTCACTTAATACTGTCAAAATCTATTTGAGCATTCACAAATAAACAAATCAATGAGACTGATATTTATTATTCTCAACTTTCTCTACATTTTGCATTACATTCATTTAGAACATATCCCTCCTTGTAAAAGAATAAATGAGAATAAAAAGGAAAATTAACCTATGTGCGTTAATCAGAAGTAATGGAAGCAAGCCATGCATAAAGAGTTGAGGGTAAAGAACTTCATAATCATTAAGACGCCAACTCTTGCCCTAAGAGGATAAAGTTGTGTCGTGCAATCGTGAAATCCAAATGGAATGGAAAAATGACTAGGAATGGATAGATCCACACTCCTAACGAGTTGCAAGCTAATAAAGAGAACATGAGGAGGATGAATCCCTCAAACACTAAGGCAAAGTGGATAGAGCTTTCTTGAAAGATGATTTCAACAAGAGAGAAGCATTTCTTGTTAAGAAGCTGCTAGAATGAAAACTCGCAAAGGGAATTCTAGGCAAAAACAAAAAACAAAAAAACAAAAAAATCGAGAAGCAATGTTTGTTCGAGCTGAAAATCGAGTGACAGCTTGAATGTTCCTCTTAAGAAGCAAGACTCCATGGAAAACTCTATCATTGCTTCTACCCATTCCTACTTCTTAAGAAAGGCTTAGGATATGAGTTCAAAATACCTTTAGGAGAGAAGAAGCCAAAGGACCTCCCTCTACACAAGATCTTCTGAAGCGCCCTCCCTCTACATGAGATCTTTTGAAGCGCAACATCCAAGCAAGTGGAGAACTAGCTCTATAGTTAGATGACCTAGGCCTCTCTAAGGGGCAACCTCCTTCTTTTTCTTTGTGTACGAATCACGAACTTGGGGCATGCCCGGGCCCTCAAGCTACATTAAATGGGCACCTGTAAATTAAAAATTCTATTTTAATGTCATACACTTTTCTATTTTATTTCTCTTCTCCCTTTTATCTACTCTAAGCCTCGTCAAAAAACCTTAAATGAACAAGTACATTTGAAATAAGGACGTCATCAAAAATAATGGCTTAATACGCAATAAAAGAAACACATAAAGATCAATCAAACTTGGCATGACTTGTGGATAAAACTCCAAACGAAATCAGTGCAAGGGGCATCCCCCTTTAATGAAGGAGTGAAAGATGATCACAAATGCTACAAAAAAAAGCCCTGCAAGAAACCCACTGAGAGGGCAACGCCAAGATTAGGGCAAGGTCTGCTAGGAGACCCACAAACAAAAAGGGTAGCCTAGGCAAAAGTTAGGACAAAGCAGCATTCCGAGATGAAAACCGAAAGGCGGCTCAGGAAGATCATTTAACCAATATGCAATCTCAAGTCATCGCTTAACTTTGAAGGAAATATTGAGCTAATGCAGAAAATGATTTCCTCACTTTGAATGTGCTTGTTCATCAGCCTAAATCACTAGCCTACCTCAGCCAACCATTCTTCTATAAACCATTTTTGAAAAAATCCTTTCTAATAAAACTTTTACAAAAAATATATGTATATATCCCCTTCTTCTCTTTCCTCTTAACCAATATGGCATTAAGATAAATTTGAGAGATACACGAAATATGCACAGTGAACACTCACAAGAAAAAGTTGAAGGTGTCCTAGAACAAAGTCTAGGTACACCTGATCTAAGGGCTAACATATCACATCTGGTACAAGAGAGTATTCTAAAACCTTGAAGCATTAGGTAGGTGGATCTTTCTCACTTATATATTACTCAATATGTCCAACTCTAACCAATGTGGAACTTCACTTCACACTTAAACTCCAACAAAAATCATTTTTGTTATATTTTTTTTAATAATGATACGATATGAATTTAATTTTGTTATTCTCTCGGATTCTTTTTATAAGACTTAAATAAGTGTTGTTTGTTTTTTTTTTATAAGAATTATTCTTAAAATATATCTTTTGTATTACTTTTTTTTAATATAAAAAATACTGTTAATATAGGATTTTATTTCGAGAATTTTACTTTTACTGATTTTAAGAATAATATTTGTTTACTCCCAAACACACCATGTATCGCCATCAAATATAGTATAGTTAATTATCTAATAATAATCATTTAATTAATTATCTACTAATTTTCATTAGGAATCTAGATAGAGATTTAGAATTCTTGAGAGATTTCATTTTCCTTGAAATTCGGAAACAACAAATGATGCTTAGATTTGATAGTAATTATAATTGAAATTATACAATAGAAAACCAAAATATTTGGAAAAGGTATTTTAAAACATAATTAAAAATTATTTTAAACTTAGAATATTAAGTGAACACTTCAAGAATTTAAACAATTTGACAATTTCTGGATAAAACTTGAATTTAATTTAGTAAATAAATTGAATTAGAAAGAACAAAATAGTGAAATAAATACCAGATAATTTAAGAGTTCGATAAAATAAAATTTTAAGCTAAGGAATAAGCTTAGAATGTTAATTCATGACTTTAAGAATTATTATCTTATATTATTTTCGTTAACAGTTGATACTAATTAATTTATTTGTAAATATTATTACAGTATTAAAATAAAAGAAATTGTGTAAAAAAAATGTAAATATCAATTCATTATTCCTCATAAATATGAATAATTTATCGGAGCTAAGAATTAAATTTAAATTTATAACATCGAAAGATTTTGAATTTTAGCAAAAATAAAATCGGAAACTATTCAGTAAATGGATACCTAAAGGTAGATAAAATCAAAAACAACTTTTAGTCATGATAAAGTAATTTTTTAAGAATATAAATGTTTTTCAAATATTATTTTAAGGTTATAGGATTTTTTTTTGTTGAAGTTTTCGGGTTCCTTATATTTAGCTCGTTGTACTCTCCATTTTGAGTGTATGCATTGTTCATGTTATGTCATATAATTATGTAAATATATATATGCTAATGTCTTCTTGTGATTTCATTGATATAACTTGAAATTATTTGCCTTCATTTGATCTTGATGAATTGTGTGGACTACTCGGCAGTGAGGTTGTGATTCTTGTT